CAGCACTAAGAAATGGGACAATTTCATTAGAAATTAGGGAAAGAGTTCTAAACAGCTATAGGATATCTATCCTGCTTTATGGCAGAGAGTTCTGAGCGATCTCTTCAGGGATGAAGAAACGATCTGAAGCAACAGAAATGTGGTTCCACAGAAGGATGATGAGGATACCGTGGAGCAACATATGAGCAACAACGAAGTTTTAGAAAAAATGCAAACAGGCAGTAAACTAATATTTAACACAGAGGAAGAGTGTTATGGAGTGGTTTCACAGTGGAGGCTTGTATTTGTACTAAGTCGGTCCTAAAATAGGTTCGACGTACAAAACGTTAGGAACTTGATATAATAGGTAATGACGCAGTAATCTAGTTGTGGTCGCTGATACTTTAGTATCCGACTAACGGTCGTCCAGCATCGACTGAGCGACTGACCCACTGAGCGACTGACCCATGAGCGACGGTATTTAGTCACCCACCCCCACAAGGCCGGTTTAACGTGGGATCTTCGAGCCCCTGGGCTCGGCCAAAAATATGCACTTTGAACCCGTAGCCTCGTTCGGGTTCCTCCCCGCCCGAAGGCAGAGAGTTCAACCGATCAGCCAGTCAGCCTGACTGACCCACTGAGCGACTGACTTGTTACTCTTACTACTCCTACTTATTATAGGTGGGAGAGTCTATTAACTATAAAATAGGCGTGTTCCACTATTATAAAGAGACAGTCAGAATTTCTGGGGCACGTAATGAGGAAGGTGGGTTTAGAAAATATGATACTCATCGGATAGATAAAGGGTAAAGGGGACAGTGGAAAATAACGCCTAACATACTTGATTAGCTTGAGGGGTAACTTAACTTGGTGTAATGGTTAACGTGCTTGTCTTACTGGAACAATTATGACTGAGTAATGAGTTCGATACTTTCGGCTTTGTGCCACATCTTATCTGCGCTTAGAAAATCAGTATAACCTACTTGATGAGTTTGAGTCAATGGATGGCGAAACAGGGCTTAGGAGAAATAACAGAAAGACACAGTTTACCAACAGCTACAAGCGAGAGGAGGTTGTGGAGAGCCATGATCTCGTATGTCCTAAGATCACGCCACATAAAGAAGAGAGCAAAGAAAATTAATTTGTTTTATAAATAAATCCCTAAATCTTCTCGATGTCATCAGTTCCCAAGTAGGTATCTATTGCCTCAATAGTAAATCCGGCATCGCGAACAAAAGTAACTTGGCTGTTGGCCTCGAGAAGGACCTCCAATCTGTGATTGACTGGGGGCAAGAAATGGCTGGTAAACTTGAATGCCTCAAAAAAAAAACTGCTCTCTGTTAACCACCGCAGAGAACCCTCCCTGCCTCCCATTAGAACGCCTGCTGCTCAACTCCACGAGAGCGCTTGCTTGATCTCACACTGCCCGCTGACCTGATAAGGAACAAATAGATTGAATCCATAGCTTCATCTACCGCAAGGAAAGTTGGTTCTCTCTGTCATGCCAGAAGGTTTTTCTCGCCTGAGTCCATCAATTAAATCTATAAATCAATCATTCACCCTTGTAGACAATACTGCTGCAATATATGATCTGGAGACTCCGCTGTTCGTCTCAAGGCACTCGACAAAATCCAGATACGAATAGGCAATATGAATGTTCCTGATCTGGCATCTCGTCTACACTTTGTCACAGACGTGCTGTTGCTTCCCTCTGTCTTTTCTACAAATACCTTCACAGTAACTGCCCCGAAGAGCTACTTTCGCTGGTTCTCAAATTGCATAAATTTAAGCATGCTACTTGTTTGGCATCTAAGTTCACCTTTTTAATGTCGAAACTGTTAAATGTAGCCGTCTCTTCTACTTCAATAGCTTCATGTCTTGCACTTCCCGACTGTGGAACTCCCTTCCTCTTACTTGCTTCCCTGATAGCTATAATCTTCAATTATTCAAATGCAATGTCAATCGACATCTTCAGATACCTTGATCTAATTCCCTGTCCTTCTTTTCATCCTTTTCTCTGCCATGCCTATTTACACTTGCTCCCACTCGATGTAACGCTTTACGGGCTAGTGTTTTCTGCCACATCTTATCTACGCTTAGAAAATCCGCATAATCTACTTGATGATCTTGAGTCAATGGATGGCGGAACAGAGCTTAGGAGAAATAACAGAAAGGCAAAGTTTATTAAGAGCTACAAGAGACAGGAAGTAGTGGAGAGCCGTGATCGGCTACGTCCGGAGCGAACACGACATATAAAGGAGAAGAATATATTTTTGTGGAAATATTATAATATACGGGGATTAAAAATAAAAATCAGACATTATTTTCCAAACAACGTAATATATTCGCGTTGTTGTGTAATGGATGTCGGAGAGCCGAGTTCGAATTCCATTCCCTTATTCACTTTATTCACTTACACAAAGGTATGGATCCATCGCTTATCCCCCAGTTATGGGTTAAACAGCAGGACAGACTGGGTTCTTTAGCGTTGGTTGGCAACCAGTCTACTGCAGAAAGAAATTGCAACCTACAGCTGGAAAAAAGTTCAGCCTCGAAAGATACATGATACATGTATCACGTGTGGCATTTAACTCACAGATTAGACGGATATTAGTTAAAAATACATCCATACTACATGGCAAAAATAATAAGCAAAAACTAAAAATCATTGAAGACTTTATAGAAGAGAAATAAAGCCCCAGATGAAATAAAATCTTACTTATTATAAAACGCAGATTGTTTGTTTGTGTGTGTGTGTGTGTGTGTGTGTGTGTGTGTGTGTGTGTGTGTGTGTGTGTGTGTAACGTTTATATATTGGATCGGATTTCCTACATTTTTCAACCGATTTCAACAAAACTTCACAGGACTACATAAGATTACCTTGCGGTGGTTCTAACAGCGCCAAAAATGGGAAAAACACAATTGGTTTTTGCACAAAATCAATTTGAAAACACGATTAAGAATCATCGTGAGAATGAAAGGGGGACAATTCCTATCCCATTAACGCAGGTGTGCCCCAAGGCTCCATCCTTGGCCCCACTCTTTTCCTCATTTTCATCAACGACCTTCCTGAAGCTATAGATTCCCAGGTCGGCATCTATGCAGACGACACTACAATTTACTCCTGCCTCAAAAACAAGTCTAGTGTCGGCGACAAAACTAACCTGGCCGTGCGTCTTGAAATGGACCTCAATCGGTTGTTAACTGGGGCAAGAATTGGCTGGTCAACTTTAACGCCACTAAAACTAAATTACTCTCCATTAACCACCATAGAGATCCTTCCTGCCCCCCATTAAAATGTCTGATAGTCAACTTCCTGAGAGCAACTCCCCTGCGTCTGCTCGGTCTCACGCTGACTGCTGACCTGAGATGGAACAAATACATTGAGTCAATTGCTTCTTCCACCGCGAGGAAAGTTGGCTCTCTGTGCCGCGCCAGGAAATTTTTCTCCCTGAATCGATACTTCAAATATATAAAACAACCATTCGCCCTTGCATGGAGTATTGCTGCCATATATGGGCTGGAGCACCTTCCGCTTACCTCGGAGTTCTCGACAAGATCCAGAGAAGGATATGTAATCTAATTGGCCCTGATCTAGCGTCTTGCTTGCAGTCACTCTCTCACAGACGCGCCGTCGCCTCTCTCTGTCTTTTCTACAAATACTTCCATGGTAACTGCTCTGATGAGCTGCTCTCTCTGGTTCCCAGACTCCCCTTACACCGTAGAAACCTTCAAATGTAGCCGTCTCTTCTACTCCAATAGCTTCATACCTCGCACCTCTCGCCAGTGGAACACCCTCCCCAATTACTGTTTCCCTGAAAGCTATAATCTCCAATTATTCAAATGTAATGTCAATCGACATCTCCAATTACCTTGATCTACCCACTATCCTTCTCCTCTTCCTTTCTCCTATCACTCTTATCTGCTCTCGCTCCAAACCCCCTGCATCCTAGTGGCTTCACGCCTTGCTTGGGGCACAATGCTTAAAAAAAAAAAAAAAACTCACATCTGGTTAAAAACCCAGGTTGTTTGTGTGTGTGTATTCCTTTATGTATGAGATCGGATTTCCTACATTTTTCAGCCGATAAAACAAAAATTCACTTTTTTCTTTTGGCAGGTAATGTTTCTTATTCTCTTGCACACTTTTTTCTTTATTTTTAATATTCAGAATGCTTTAAAAATTCCATTTACAATACAATTGTTTATAATAAATTTCTATTCAATCGGGAGACTCATAACGATTGAAAACAATGTTTTTCTTTGAGTTTGGGTTTGACCAATTCGTAAAAAAAAATAAAAAATAAAAAAACTAATTAAGACATGCGTGTCCGTCAACCTTAAACAATAATCTTTGTCAATTTTATTTTTCAGTCTTTATGATGGTCGATACTTGATCTATCTCTTATCCCCGGGCAACGCCGGGCTCAACTGCTAGTCAACGATAAGTATAGCAACAAACTTTTAAGAAGCTTACAAAAAATTTATGTATGTATGAGCAAAAATGGAAAAGTTACTTCACTTATACTGGAAACCCACATCACCGACCCCACCAAAAACACGCGAAGTTTGAAATCTAGAAATCTAGAAAAAACGAAAATGTTTCGAATTGTGACAGTAATAATGTTATATACCGTATCTATTAACACTAATGGGTATATCCTAATCCTCATAAATTGGAGACTACTGTAAGTGTGGGTAATATGCTGTCTATGTAGTCCACTACTAGCAGTGGTTTACCTACTTCACGGCGCTGGCGAGTATTGTATTTTGTTTGTGTTGTAAAGATGACCATTTGATTTCCAATCTCCATTTTGGTTATTCCTCATTCACTAACCCTTTCTAGGTTACAACAAATAAAAAAGATAAGATCAGAGTAAGAATTTAAATAATTTCTCGTCGGAAAAATTCCGATAGATAGATAGATAGATAGATAGATAGATAGATAGATAGATAGAAGCAAATCAAGATTAAGATAGATAGATAGATAGATAGATAGATAGATAGATAGATAGCAAATCAAATTAAGATAGAAGATAGATAGATAGATAGATAGATAGATAGATAGATAGATAGATAGATAGAAGCAAATCAAGATTAAGATAGATAGATAGATAGATAGATAGATAGATAGATAGAAGCAAATCAAGATTAAGATAGATAGATAGATAGATAGATAGATAGATAGATAGATAGATAGATAGATAGCGATGAACAGATAGATAGATAGATAGATAGATAGATAGATAGATAGATAGATAGAAGCAAATCAAGATTAAGATAGATAGATAGATAGATAGATAGATAGATAGATAGATAGCGATGAACAGATAGATAGATAGATAGATAGATAGATAGATAGATAGATAGAAGCAGTCCAAGATTAATATAGATAGATAGATAGATAGATAGATAGATAGATAGATAGATAGATAGATAGATAGATGGCGATGATCAGATAGATAGATAGATAGATAGAACGAGACCAAGATTAAGATAGATAGAGAAAAGCAGACCAAGATTAAGATAGATAGATAGATAGATAGATAGATAGATAGAACCAGACCAAGATTAAGATAGATAGATAGATAGATAGATAGATAGATAGATAGATAGATAGATAGATAGATAGATAGATAGCGATGAACAGATAGATAGATAGATAGATAGATAGATAGATAGATGCAGACCAAGATTAACATAGATAGATAGATAGATAGATAGATAGATAGATAGATAGATAGATAGATCACTTAATTATCTGAGTTGTCCAAGAGAGCCCATGAGGATAAATCTGATCTTTGCTGACTCGAGGAAGGAGCTTGTTAACGGAGGCCCTGTGACAGGTGAACATGAGGATAACGATGAACAGAGACAGAGGAAGGCAGGTAGATTAATCCATCGAGAGACAATGACGAGAATCAAAAGTTTCAAAAACTATTCTGTAACGCCATCGCTAATGAGTTTGACATTCAGCAAATAAATAAATATTCGCCCCTCCAACGATGCACGAATGGGCGAGTCAATGGAGACCTTTAGCAGGAAGACCAGCGAGACGTGAGGCTTACTTTGATGTCAACTCGACTGCGGTGTGTCATTGCTTTTTTTGTGTGTGGAGTGCCTGACTTGTACCTAAAACTGTGTTGGTGCCGGGGATGTCAGGAATTGAAAAGAAAGAAAGAAAGAAAGAAAGAAAGAAAGAAAGAAAGAAAGAAAGAAAGAAAATAAGAAAATTGATAATGATAATAGAAAAAAGCAAGTAAAATAAAAAACGTAGATAGATAGATAAAGAAAGAAAGAAAGAAAGAAAGAGAATGAAGAAAGAAAAGGCAGAAAGAAAATGAAGATAGATAGATATATAGAAAAGAAAGAAAGAAAGAAAATAGATAATGATAATAGAAAAAAGCAAGTAAAATAAAAAATGTAGATAGATAAAGAAAGAAAGAGAAAGAAGAAAAGACAGAAAGAAAATGAAGATAGATAGATAGATAGATAGATAGATAGATAGATAGATAGATAGATAGATAAAGTACCACAAATAGCGGTCATAAAAAAAAGCGAGTAAAATTTATAAAATATAGATAGATAGATAGATAGATAGAGAAAGAAAGAAAGAATGAAAGAAAAAGAAATTGCACTGATAGATAGATAGATAGATAGATAGATAGATAGATACAGAAAGTATCACAAATAGAGGTCATAGAAAAAAGCGAGTAAAATTTATAAAATGTAAATAGATAGATAGATAGATAGATAGATAGATAATGAACAGACTGCGAAAGAAAGAAAGAAGGAAAGAAAGAAGGAAAGAAAGAAGAGCGAAGTGATGTATATATGTGTGTGCGCGCGTGTGTGCGTGTGTGTGCGTGTAGATAGATAGATAGATAGATAGATAGATAGATAGATAGATAGATACTGAGAAAGAAAGAAAGAAAGAAAGATAAAGCATACAAAATATCCCCCACCCCAACAAAAACAAACAATTGAAGAAAAGCTGAAAAACATCTACAACTTCATCTGACCAAAAATCAAAGATTTTTTTTGCCATTTTCTCAATCGTTCGTCCTCAGCAGAAATTTCAGAAATTTCGACAAATCTGTCCAAATTATACAATCCATTCTTGTGTGCAAATGTACATCCGAAAAAACCAAATCGACACTTCCTAAACAGAACGCTCTGCTCGTGAAGAATAAGGCATTTTTTTCGGCAACAAATGTTTGTAGTTTACCATTATTTAGTCCTTCCTCAAGTCGTGATATTTGTCAGAATTAAGCAGAAACACTAACCACTGGAACACAGCACAAAGAGACTCTAGGGTCAAAATGGTTGCTCAGTTCTTGCCTCAGAGCGATCGTCCGACGCTCGCTTTGCGTGAATCGCCAAATAATCATTTGGACACAGTCCTGTTCTTCTGTTTCATTAATTGCCATTTTACCTTGCATCCTCATGGCTAATGCTAACCTTCAGAAGGGTAACTCATTCTTCCTTCGCGGACTAACGTTTTCTGGCGACATGAAATGGAATGAGTATATGAATCAATTGCTAAGTCAGCAGCTAAGAAATTTGCTTCAATATCTCCTGTTGGACGATTTTTTTTTTTCTCACCATAATCTATCTTGCATATTTATTAGTCAATAATTTGTCCTTGATTTGAATATGGCTGCCACAACTGATCTAGTGCTCTTGCTATATATTTAGAGATTCTTGATAAATTCCAAAGAAGAATCTGCAATCTTATTGGTTTTGGTTTGGCATCTCGACTTTAGTCCCTTACCCACATAACATAGCTTCTCTATGGTTTTTCTATAAATAGTTTCATCGTAATTGTTCTGATAAACTTTCCTCTACCAACCCCCCACCACCACACAGACAAATTGTACACATGAGAACGATTTAGAACTTCGTAGAGACTAATGGCATTACGGTGGCTGCAGTCGATATATTAAGTAAGAATGTGTTGTTTTGGTTTATTTGTTTTGTTTTACGGGTTATTTAATGCCGACATTTTTTTTATTGCTGGTATTTTTTTTTTCTTTTTCAAAAATGTATTGCTGGTCATATTTTTATTCAAAAATATATTGCTGGTATAATTTTTTTTCCCAAACAACTATTGCTGGTATTAAAACCTATTTTTATACTTTCATAGTGTTTTGACACCTTTTAGTGGGTGGGTAATTATTTGCCAATAGCTGGGACATTGACAGGTGCTACCGCCCCGGGTCAGGGTGCACCTGGGAACACCAGCAGTTAAGAGATGGTTCCACCTTGCTGTTGAGGGTAGTTTATCTTCTTACCCAGGACGCGGATGTATTTATCGTCATATCCAGGACGAGTAATTTTAGTGTAAGGAATATTATGGTATGTTTGAGTCAGTAATTGTGGTTTTAATTATAATTCAAAAAACAGGCCTTCCCCTTCCTCGTCCTCCATTTTGACTTTATGCCACATCTTTGGATTTTACAAAATAAATATTACTTTGCTCTATGGTATATAGACTTTCTGAATTTAAGCGAAATACTAGATTGGCAGTGAGGTCCCATTATTATGCACTACCAAATAACAAAATGCACATCACGTAAGAACATTTAACAGCCACAGCTAAAATAGAAAGCACGCCTAACTCGAAGAGAAAATAATAGCATAACGAAAATGTTGACGTTTCACAGTCTTTCTACTATGTAACGTGTCTTTTTAGAATGTTGGCGATCATGGCTCTCCACAACTTCCTGTCCTCTGTAGTTCTTAAGAAATTTTTATCTTTTTGTTATCACTCCTAAACCCTGTTCCACAATTTATTTACTCAGCTTAGTTCTTCGTTTTCTAAGTGCCGTGTCGCTCAAGGAAGTTAGCGACCATGGCTCTCCACAACTTCCTGTCATTTGTAGCTCTTAAGAAATTTCATATTTTTGTTATCTTTCCTAAACCCTGTTCCACTATTCATTTACTCAATTTAGTTCTTCTTTTTTTGAGTGCCGTATCCCTTCAGAACGTTGGCGATCATGTCTCTCCACAATTTCCGGATATTTGTGGATCTTAATAACTCTTACTTTTTTTTTTTATCTCTCCTAAGCACTGTACCATCATCCATTTACTCAAACTCATTCTTCCTCTTTCATGTGCTATGTTCCATCCGGACGTTGGTGATCATGGCTCTCCACAATTTCCTCTTCCTTGTAGTGATGAAGAAACGAAGAGGAAACTTATGCATAACATCAGGAAGAGGCAGTTGAAATTTCTGGGATCGTAATGAGGAAGGAGGGCTTGGAAAATATGATACTCATAGGACAGAGGAAAACAGCACGTAACATACTTGATGAGCTTAAGCAAATGAAGGGTAGAACAGGGTTTGGGAGAGATAACAAAAAGACAAAACTTATTAAGAGCTAAGAGAGACAGGAAAGTGTGGAGGGCCATTAAAAAGAAGAAGAATTAGCTAGAACTTGTAGATAAATGGTTTCATTCAAAATGCGCCAAGCGCTCTTCCACAGGAAGAATTTTGTTCCTTTCCATGACACCGCAATGCGAGTAAAGCACAAATGAGAAAAGGGAAACATTTTGAGACTAGGTTTGCCTATTCTAATATACACGCCATATACACCCGACCTTGAACAAACCGATTATTACATTTGTCCATCGCTGCAAAATGCTTTGATGTCGAAAAATTCAATTAAAAAAATTCAAGATTTCGTTGAAAGATGTTTTCACAGTTTATCAATTTTGTGATGTCAACGAACTGAATAGAGAAATATTATAATGAATAGAGTAAAGAATAGCGATTCTTATAGTAATAGATGATAGTGTAAAATTAGCGAGATATTCACTAACCGCCCTACGCGTTAGGATGCGGCACAAATCCAAGTTTATTGTGGGTTATACGGCCCATAGGCGTGGCCAAAATTTCAGCGTAGACCCCGTAAAAACAGTGTCGGGTAGCTGTTTCCCTAGACGAAACTCTGCCCTTCGACATAGCCTGGTCTGGGGATCCTCTCTGCCCGGAGGCAACGAGTTTGACCATCACACTTTC